GCGCGCGCGGCGCTCATTTCTTGGCCATTTCCCGTGTTATTCGACCCGGGCTTCAGCGCCATGAGGAGGTGGACTTGACCACCTGCTTTACCCGGAAGACCAAGGCCGTTGAGCGGGACCGAGTGCTGACCTGACAGATCCGAAGTGGAGCCGACAGCCGAGTGGCGAGCGTGCCGGGGCTTGGTCCACTAAACACCGGCGGGCGAGGGATCGATTCCTGGTCGAGGCGCCTTTTTTTGCGGGACCTGCTGTGGCTGAGTAGGTGGCCAGTCAGGTCCACCTCCTGGCAATAACTTTTTGGGGGTTCCTTTGGTGAGGTCGGACGGAACTTGTCGATGTGGACGCGGTTGGACGCGGCTGATTCCGTTCCGAACTCAGAAGTCGCCTACGACTGCGGTGGGGTTGGATGAGGAAAGTACTCCCCCATATTTTTTAAATTTTTGTCCGGGTGGGGAAAGAGGGGCGTGAGCATTTACGACGCCGAGCGGACTTATTCCTACAGTCGGTTCTGAAGAAGCTGGCCGGTGGCCGTTGGCGTTGGCCGTGTCGGTTACAACCATGTAGCGACAAACGGGGACGTCTTCGTCGTCACGTTGTGTACAGTCCCTTCTCCTTGTGACGCGAGAAAGGTCGGACAAACGAAATGCTCCCGGGAATGTGTTAAGTACTATATATGCCCCAGTAACTATGGTAGGAGCGGTCTGAATGTTTTAAAGTCGATTTGCGGTATTCAGTGTTATTGTTACCGTGTGGGTAAGAGAGGAAAAGATTTTGTAGTGGAATAAACAGATGAATAATCGAAGGCATGTATTTGTTTGAATTTCAAAACAAAATTACAGTAGAAATGAGTCTGCATTCTCTACAATTTTAAGGAATTATTAACACAAAACTCATGGCCACACCGATAATACATACTTTACATACAGTACATACATTTACATACACACATACGTATATAATGACTTTGTTACCCTGTACTTTGATAGTTTCTGCTGCTTATGCTGATAACCAGTTGCAACAACAACTTCATGAGGTAGGAACAAATATACCGTACATTCTTACCAGAAATATAATTTAAATAAACATTTTCTAAATGACCAAATAAAATGCGTATAGCTAGAGACGAACTAGTCCCAAACATTTAAATATCACATATACAAATCATGTACACAGATTGAATTGCACTATACATAAACTTTTTTATTCATCGCCTACTTTTTATAAAATTGCGAATGAAAATTTTGCTAACATTCTGCACAAAAACAAATAATAGGTCAAATGTCTTTTTTCTCACTAATTAGGGCAAAGCTATGCTGGTCGAACACCACCTAACATGGAAATTAGTATACCGAATTAGATTGATTGAATAGAATTTATTTAATAAATTAAACATTCAAAAGATCACGGATTTTTAGATTTGTTGCAGTCTTAGGAATAGTTTAAAAGCTGTAAAATTCTTATGGAACGATAAAGGAATGAATGAGGTATACATAGAATAACTTTGGTTTCACATTCCATTATCAGATGTCAATGGCAAAAGTATGGATCACTTTTCACAAAAAAGGTATACATAGACAAATCACGAACATGTACTTAAGGCCCTAATTTCGGAAAAAAGGGAAAACAGTAATAATAGTATTATCTGTAATAATAATAAACATATGAAAACAACAAATCAGTCATACAACTAGACAAATTTCCCGACTCACGAGTTCTACCCCATGCTTACAATCACATAAGATATGACAACTAAGTTTTAATGAGTTGAGCAAATTAAACAAGGAAAAAACAAAAAAGAAAACTGTTAACTCAAAATTGATTTATGGACTCAGCCACAAGTAGCTTTTGCAAGAACACAACAGATTAATATCAAAGGAGAATAGCCCACATTATCAGGTACTCCCAACCATTATTTGGTCAGGTATTTGGTGATTTAAAAACATGGGCGAAACAATGTCGCAATAAGATTTGCGGTGGTGGGAATGGGCGAGAAACAAACTTAGGCAAACATGGGTTAACATGACTCACTGCTATCCTCCAGGGATCGTGAGTCTCTCCCTGCAGACAGGTAGAGGCTCGTTAGCGCCGGGGGAGGGGAGAGGGGCCGTGCCGCGAGGCCTCGCCCATCCCAGCCCAGAGCGGTCCATCCTCAGGACCAACTGTCGGCACGGGGTGGGCGGGGCGCGCGGCTTGGCGGGAAAGGGGGGGGGGGCGAGAGAGGCGCCATAAGGGCAAGGCGAGATCAAGGGCCTCGCTACGCCCCGAGGAAGGGGACTGAGCCGCTCGGAGAGTCGCTCGCCCTGGAGGGTAAGCAGTGCCTATCCTACTTCTCACTCTAACTAGAAGACTCTAACGTTAAAACACAGTATCTCTCTTAACTCGTCATAGTAATACATTATTTGGTACTGTAGAGAGGAACTTTAGTAGGTGGGGCTTCGTCCAGCCATGACTGTCGGGGGGGCAGACGCGGGCCCCGCCACTCGATATGTGGAGGGCAGGTAGCTTGGTATGCTGAGGGGAGTCCGGACGACTTGGCCGACGGCTTGGGTGACGCCAGGCCCTCCGGACGCCTCCGGCTATCTGGCCAGGTCCCGACAGACTGCTGAGGGGGAGACGGAGGGCTGGTCGCGCTCGCGTTCGCGGGGTTGGAGGAGGTCCATGGGGAAGTCTTGTTGGCCCCCCTCCATGCCGGGAACGTCAAGCTTGATTCTCTTCTCCTTCTGGCGCCTGCAACAAACGCAGTGGTGATTAGACGTGGTTACGGATTGACGCCGGACGGCGGTACTCGAAAGGTCACTGGACGAAGTCCCCTCACCTGTTGCAGAACCACACCCGAACCACTTCCTTCTCCATGCCTAGGCTGTCGGCCAACATCGTGATCTCCTCCGACGTGGGCTTGGGGTTGGCCATGAAGCCCTTCTCCAGGGCGACCCGGACGTTCGTTTCGATGGACGTCCGCTTCTTCCGCCGCCGCCCAATGGCCTCGGGCGTCGTCAGGGGGTTGTTGAGTGAGTTGGGGTTCGCCATGGTGCTGTCCGCGTCCTCGAGCCACTTCTGGAGGAGCGGTTTCAGCTTGCACATGTTCTTAAACGATAGGTTGAGGGCCTCGAACCTCGAAATGGTCGTTTGCGAGAAGTCGTTGCCGTAGAGTTTACCCATGGCCAGACCGACATCACCCTGCGTGAACCCTGCAATACAGAAAAATACGTGAGTTAGAAAACATCCAGTGAAGGCTTCACAGGCATAAATGAGGTCCATTAAAAGAAAAGTAAAACGCGCTTACCAAGCTTGATGCGCCGTTGCTTGAAAGCTTTCGCGAACTGCTCGAGCTCCTCGAGGTCGGTCGTCTCCTCCAAGGCGGGCTCCAAAGCGCGTGGCTGCGGCTGCTTGCTGGCCATAGGGGTGAGCTGACCCGGAAGCGCACCTCCCAGCTGCCCCCGCAGCTGCGCCCGCAGCTGTTGGAGGGTGGCGGCGGACGGCGGACTGTCCCGGGCGGACGCGTCCGAGTCCCGCGCCGCGGACGACGCCGACGATCTTGCCGAAGACGACGAGCTTAGCCTGGCGGGCGGTGAGACGGCGCCCTGCTTCTGCAGCTGCTGCAGCTGCTGAGCTGCCTGGGCCACTGACTGCTGCACCGACTGCTGCACTTGATTCTGCAGGAAGAACTGCGCCTGCGCCGGCATCTGCGGGCCGCCGCTCGCCTGCTGGAAGAGCAGCAGCTGCTGCAGGAGCTGCTGGTGGTGTTGCTGCAGCTGCTGCTGCACCGCCTGCAGCTCCTGGGGCGCGAGCCCGGCCAGCGACGAGGGAAGGCCCGCCCCGGCCGCGTTCGCCAGTTGGCTCTGGAGGAGGAGCTGGCTCTGAGGGTTGAGTCCCATCATCTGCAAATCAAGGCGGATCGGATCGTCAGCACCGTGGAGCGCGGAGGGAGCCGAAGACGGCGGCGGGCATGAGAGCAGCGCATGCTGACTCACCTGCGATAGCTGTCCGGCCTGCAGCGCGGCGATGGCGCTGAGGTTGGGGTTGGCGCCGAGGCCGGCGCCCGCGCCCGTGGCGGGGCTGCCGCCGAGCGAGGCGCCCGCCGACGAGGTCACGTGGCTGCTGATGCCCGACGAGGGCGAGGTGGACGGCCTGCTGGGCAGGCCGGGGCCGCGCGTCACCGCGGGGGAGTCACCCTGCAACACACAAGAGAAAAAGAGGGCGGGTGAGCGAGGGGGACGCGAGCGCACAGCAGCGGCGACATGACACCGCAACAGGTGACCCTGCGGGGGGCGAGCGCCGGCGCCGGGGCGGGGCCGGCACCGACAAACTTTATTTATCAAGTGGTTTATCCACTCCTCCCGGGAGTGGGCGGACAGACGGAGCGACATCTCCATATTAGACGGGAAATTGGATTGGGCGCCCCTCCGGGTCCCTCGGTCCTCGTGGGTCCCTCCGGCGGGGGAAGTGGCCGGCCTTCCCTCCGCTCCGGCTCCCGCGGCGGCGGGCTGACGAGGCGCTACCCTTTATCGGGCGCCGCTCCATTCAGGGCGGCAGCGCCTGCATTATCACCCGGGCCGCTCTCGGACCTCGCGGATAAATAATGGAGGTGGGGCCGAGCCGAGTGTGTCCGGCCGGCCGAGGAGCCCTCAGGCCGGGCCACCCTCCCCAGCTGCGCCCCGCGAGCCGCCCGGGCCGGACGCAGGGCCGGACCGGATCGGATATTTTAATCCCGCTGGGGACGATCGCCGGGCTCTTAGCCATTCATCTTGTGCGCCAGCAAGCCCCCAGTCCCCTGGCTACTTACTCACTGTTTCCAACTTCTCTCCGCGCGCTGCTCTTGCAACGACTCGCTACACACGATGCTTCTGATACCCTCCCCCCCCCCCCTCTTGCTCCGCTCGGACCATTGCGAAATAAACGCCACGGCCGGAAGCCCCGCGCGCGCTGCTGCTGCTGTGCGACACAATGTGTCCCTTTACTGCCTGCTGCTGCTGCTGGCCGCCCCGCCGCGCCCCGCCGCGCCCCGCCGCGCCCGAGCTCGGCTCCGACAGCCGATGGGGCGCGATTACCTCACAGGGAGGTGTCGGCCGTATTTATTGCACAGGGGGACCCTGCGGGCAAGGAATCGATGCCCCCACTTCCCCTTCTCCTCCTCCCCCTTTTCGATTGGGCGACCACTGAAGAATGACTGACTCTCCACTTCCTTTCCCTTTCATTACTGGCACGCACCCTCCTCCCCCCCGACCCAACAACCCCTTCTGCTTGCTGCACCACTGCATCATTCCATTCCCCCCTGAGCAGCCACAAGTAGCCAGCCAGCCAGCCCCGCTCTCTCGCTTGCTCCCGCCCGCCGCCGCCGTCGCCGTCGCCGCCTGGGGAGACAAACTGCCCGATCTTATCCGAGGCCGCGAGGACAGTCATTACAATACACATTCCGCCTCCTGGCTGTCGCCAAAAAACGACTCAAGGCGGTGGCATCGCGTAGCCGGGGGCGGCGGGGGGCCGCTGGCCCGCTGCCTGCATATCATTCCATCAGGGGGGGCCTGTAATAAGAGGTGGCGTGCGGCCGGCCCGGCCAGCGAGCAGCTTGTTGCTTTTATGGTCCGCCATAACCACCACAAGCAGCAGCACCACCACGACGACGACCAGCACTACACCACCATAGTACCGCGAGCGCCAACTACTTACATCCGTCCTCCGGGTGGAGTCTCTCGAGTCGTCGTCCTGGGCGAGGTGGAGGACGTCGTCGGCCACGTCGCTGCCGCCGACGCTTCGGTCCTCATCGTCGCTGGCCGCGTCGCCGTTGGTCAGTCGGTCTGTAAACACACAAAACAACAAAAAAAAGTCACATACGAGTCAAAACATAAACGCAGAACACCACCAGCGCAGTTCTGTTTCTCTCTCTCTGTGCACGTGGGTGGGATATAGTTACCACTCCTTCCTGCCTCGTTAGGTCTCGAGAGGTTGGGTTCCACCTCGAGTCACACCTTTGTGCATTACACGCGCTAATCGGCGCTAGCCCGGCCCGCCTCGAGTATGAGGTTCACCGCAGAACGCGCGATTAATTAGCATCCATCTTTGTAGCGATACGAAACGAGGAGGAAAGGGGGAGAGGGGGGGGGGCTCCTCGCGGGGAGGCCCCCTGTGGTGGCGTGGAGGCTCGCCGAGGCTGCTGCTGCTGCTGCCGCCGCTGTAGCTCGTTACGTGTCGCCGTCACATCCTTCACGCCGCATCGACGGCATGACCTGCATGACGTCTGCCACAGCAGCGACCCGCCGCGGCGGTGTAACGAACGAGCACACACGAATGGAGTAACGAACCCCCCTCCCCCTACCCTTTTCAATCCTCAATGCTGCTAAAAACCACCCCCGATAAACCTCTCCCTCCCTCCAGCCCAGCCATCATCCCCCACCTACAAATCCTTAATCCGAATCTGTAAGAGAGAAGTAAGTTTCCTTCTGCTCAAATACCTTAAAGCCGACGTGACGGCACACGGCGGCGCGAGGCGTTACGTGTGCGCAGGTATGTTCGCGGAGAAGGGGGAGGAAAAGAGGGGAGGGGAGGGGGGTGATAAGTAAATAAGACGCACGGCCGGAGCGCACCGCGCCCCGGGCGGGGACCCGAAGGTTAATAAAAAGGAAAAGGAGGGACGAAAGGGGTGCCGACCCGAGCATCCGAGCCGATCCGACCCCGGCAGCAGCAGCAGCACCCCGACCAGCGACGGCGGCGGCAGGTCGGACACACACACTCACACACAATCGAGTCCCCGCTGCGTGTGTCCGCCACGCGCGAGCGCGAGCCTGCACACACACACACAACACACACACCTTAGCGTCACCGGAGCGTTTTCCCCCTGCCCGCGCACACACACACGCACGCACGGCATCCGTTCATTCCCCCCTCTTTGTCGCGAGGACGCTCGTCGTCCTTTTTACTATTATTCCCATTTTACGGGTTGAGCGCAGCAGTCCTGTGCCCTCCTCGCCACCACCACCACGTGCACGAGCCATCAAAGGAACTCGCAGAGGAACTAGCAGGCCGCGACCATTTTTCTCCTTTCCTTCCGCGGGGACGAGGACAACGACGACGACATTCGCGACGCGGATCACAGCATCCGCCCTGCTCCCCGGTCATGCGGACGTATTGATTATGTTTTTTTCGCTCTTCCCCTTTGATGACAATAACAAGCGAGTGTTGAGGCATACGATGCGTTCGGAGCCGTCTCATTCGGGCTCGGGCTGGCCTGGACCGTCCTCGGCCGTCGTCTGCTCAAGACCACGGTTTAGGACTTTTGGCCCCCACTCCGCTGGAGTTGCGGAAGGTCGAGCTGGCAGATGTCACCCGCACTCTGGCCGCATTGCGGCAAAAAGGGGTTGCCTCGCAGAAGGCCCGAGGTGAGCAAGCCGACCAGGAGGCAAATAGTGTAAAGAAGAAAATAAAAAGTAAGTCTATATCCCCGTCTATGTAACCTCACGACCTGGCGACGGCTGCTGCTGCAGCCGTGGCGACAAAGGACCCCGCGCTGCACCCAAGCCTCCGGGCCCCCCAGCCTCCGCCCGGAGCGAGGACAGGGCCGCCGCGCCGGACCCTCGAGTAGAGTCGCGTGTGGGGCTGGGGGAGCCGCCCCCGCCCGCCCGCAGGCCGATCCTCTGATCGCTCCATCGGCCACGTGTAGTTTACTCTTCCTCCACAAAGCTCGACACCGCAGCCCGCCCGCCCGCCAGGCACGCCCCGCCCGGACGCACCAAAAGGATTTACTCGGCATTCAATCGACGCGCGCGTCTTTACTTCATGAAGTCCCTCCTGCTGCCGAACGTTGAGGTGGCCATAGCCCGCTGGCAGCTGCCCCGCCCCGCCAGTTAGACTCACGGACTGACGCTGACGAGCCACGAGATAAACCATTTGATACCACCGGGTACCGGGTGCGACTGGACGGCGGCTGTCGCCAGGGAGCGAATTCCTCGCCGGAAATGGTACCTGTTCTTACTTCCGTCTTGCTTCCCCCCCAAACCCCACCCCACCCTCGGGCCACCGCCGGCTCCACGCACAACACCCACGCGCTCCAACTTTTTCTTTTATTTCACTTTTTGTTTTGTGTTTTTTACATGCAAGCCTCTGCTAAATTAGCTCGAAGCTGGCCGCGCTAAAACGTTCAAAATACCGTACTGGTTTTCACGGCCAGGATATAATACAGTAATACAGTCTCAGAAAGAGAAGCTCTGCTCCTGCTTTATTCCGGCGCTGGCGGGGCGGGCGCCGTACCGTGCTGATTCTGCTGCTCATTTACAAGCCGCCGGCCGCCGCCGGACCTTCCTCCTGCAGCCGCTGCTGCGCTCGTAAAACATGCGTCGCTACGAGGCGCCTTTCATCTCGGCTCGCAATCTCCCCCGCCGCTTCCCCCCCTTCTCTCTCCCTCCACGACACCGGCCCGATAATTTAATTAGAGCAACAACACCTGATGTCGGGGCCGGGGCGGGAGCAGGCGTGTGCGCATGCAAAATACCCCGGCGAGCGCTGCAATTTGTACTTTGGCGCCAAGGCCTGCTGCACTCCTCCCCCCGCCCGCCCGCCCCCGCTGGTTACGGCCAGGCTACTCCAGCGAATTATTCAAATGACACAAAACACATGCACAGTGGGCGCTGTTAGGACTAACGCGCGCTGTGCAGCGGCGGAATTGAGTCATCATCGCAACCCATCTATGCAAAAGGAAATAAAATACAACAGCGACGCTACAATAGGCCGCCGCCGGTTAGGTAACCGGCACAAAAAATGAACCTAACGACAGGATTTTTAGGTCGCGCGGACTCTGTTGCAGCTTGACCATCGGGCTCGTGGCTCTACTGCTCAGGCGGGCGTCATCCGCTACTGTACGCCGCGCACACGACATCACCGTCGCCTCCATCTTCCAATTACAACCTCAGCTGCAGCTCGGGCAGCGCGGCTGTATAAATCAGACTCGAAATAACAACACTCGAGAGCTCGAACAGCAGCAGCAGGAGCGAGGTGAGAAGCTTTTGGCCGCCAACCGACCGCGCACACCAAGCAGTGCGTCGTCATATCGGAGCCCGGCGTGCCGTACGACACATAGCGTCGGTGCACCGGCGCCGCCGCGCGGGGCCGGCCGGCGCGTTTCCAGGCGGCTGCAGGCGGCTGCAGGCGGCTCCAGGGGCCCTGCCTGCATGTGCTAATTAAAGTCATACGCAGTAAAGTCTCCTTTAACTACCGCGCGCGGCACCTCGCGTGAGGACGGCGGCGCCGGCGACCAGGGCGACCACCTCCACGACGGGCACCCGGAGGGGGACCTGGAGGGGGACCACCTCGACGACGGCGTCGACCACGGCGAGCCGCAGCAAAGGGCGCGAAACAAGTTGCGGGGCTCCTCGATGTGGAGTGTTTTCGGCGGTACGTACTTACTACACTGTCGGAACGTGAAAATGAAAAAGATAAAATAACACAAGATGTGCCCCCCCATCGGCAATAACGGCATTGCACACGCACATGCGGCGGCGGCGTGCGGTCCGAATTGAAAAACCTTAATATTCCCGATGAGACACCACCGGGGCGCTCGCTCCGGGGCCAGCCCCGCCCGGCCACCGCCGAGGAGGCACAGCCGAGGCTGCTGCTGCAGGCTCCAGGCGAAGGCCCCTGCTCCGTTTTATGGCTGCATATATCTCCTCTTTCATAAGGCATCGCAATAATTAACAAAAACGACATTAATAAATGCTATTGATAGATCGCCAGGCACGGTACTGAGATGAGAGGAGGGGAGGGGTGGTGGCGAGAGGAGTGAGAGACGGAGAGAGGAAGAGCAAGAGAGAGGAAAAGCAAGAGAGAGAGAGGGAGAGAAAGGGAGAGAGGGAGAGCGCCCGCCGCGGTGTCGAAGGGCAGGTTTGAGAGAGGGGGAGGGGGTTCCGCTCCGAGTTATTGGTATGAATAACTAAACACGGTCGAGGCTGCTGAGGCTACTCCGGTCGGATTGGTTGCGGTCACGCGACGCCTGTGACGCCGCCGAGTGCCCTGCCGCCGCTGCTGCAGAGAGAGAGACGCCGGCGCCAAGCGGGCGCGCTGCCGACGCCGCCGGAGCAGCTCGTCACGGCGTCGCGGCGCAAGATTAGCGAACCCCCCGCCCACGAGTGTATATTTAAGTGCGCTCTATGGAGAGTCAAACAGCGTCTCCCCGAGTGCAACAGAGGCGACTTGTCGCAGCCACAAAGCCCGCGCACATACATACAAACGCACACGCACACGAGCGCACGCACGCACGCACGGACCACCACAACCACCACCACAACCCCGGCGGCGGCCCGGCCCAGCGGTGCAACCGACAGCCAATTAACCACATCTTTATGTCACCGCCCGGCCCGGTCCGGCCCGGCCCAGGGCCCGGCGCACCCAGCCGAGCGCAGCACCGCCGCCGCCGCCGCCACCAGCAGCACTGCTCATAAGACCGTTGGCAAAAATTAATTACGTCGACAAATTATATACTTGCTACTGGTCGCTTGCTTGCCACCAACAGCAGCAACAGCAGCAGTGGCAGGGCAGGGTGGTCGTTGGTCGTAGCGGTCGTATTCGTGGTGGCGGGATCATCGTCGTGTGGGTCGTATGGTGTGCACGTTAATAAACGCGATCAGCAAAAAACCCCTTGTGCTGCTTCTGTCTGACCGCTTCTGGTCCTCCTGCTGCTCCTCCTCCGACCGTCTCATCACGCCTCATCCCTCCGTGGCCCGACCGGGGGGACGGCGGGCGGCGCGGCCGGCCAAAGGAGGGAAATCGGCCAAACATGCAAATGTATTAAACGGCAGTAAAAAGCGCTGCG